TTGTGTGCCAAGTTATATTGAAATCGGACCAAAACTGTAGGAGGAGTAGCGTTTAAAAGGAATATCATAGAAATTTCTATTTTTAGTAACCATGGCAACACCATCCATCGAAATTAAAAAAAAACAATGCAATAAATTATGTATCTCAGTGTAGTTTTCTTGTCTCAAGTTATATTGAAATCGGACCAAATGTGTAGGAGGAGTAGCGTTTAAAAGGAATATCATAGAAATTTCTATTTTTAGTAATCATGGCAACATCATCCATCGAAATCAAAAATCAATGCACTAAATTATGTATCTTAGTGTAGTCTACTTGTGTGCCAAGTTATTTTGAAATCGGACCAAAACTGTAGGGGGAGTAGCGTTTTGAAAAATTGTTTACAGACAGACAGACAGCTAGACAGACGGACAGTCTCTGACCAGTAGAGCTAAAAACGGAAAATGATATCAGATATTAGAATGTCGGTATATGATAGGTTAGGAATTCATGAATTTTTAATAAGTTAAAAAGTCTAATAAAATTTTCAGAGGTAAGGGGGAGGACTGTGCACCATTCATTCATCAAATAGCTGTGGTCCTCTTTTGAACTAACGTCTTACACCTTCATAAACTTTGCAACTTCAGGGTCGTGTGTCTTAAAAGAATTTTTTTAAATGATGGGACATAAATAAAAGCTGCCTCTCTGTATTCTACCAAGATAGAGCCTAGTTCTATTTTATTTTATTTTTTTTTTCAATCCATATTTCAGGAAAAAAAAATGACATTTATGTCTCTGATGAAAGAACTACGATAGCCTACAAGGGTCAAATAAGAAAATGAAAAAAAGATGTGAAAAGTTTACAACGACGATGACAGACAACGGACAAATTTTGATCTGAAAAGCTCACTTGAGCATTCAGCTCAGGTGAGCTAAAATTCAATTTGTGAAATCAATAGATTTTTGGATATCAAACCTAATTCCAAAGTAAAGTTGAGGCTCTCTATATCATGTATATAGCAAAATGCAATTTCGATCAAACTACATTTCCCCACCTTAAGTTAATATCTGTTTGAAAGATAGGAGTGGATTGCTTGGGTTAAGTGAAGGTTTACAATCTCCAGATACTTTTGTTTTTATTTAATTTTTGAAATTCCTGCATGGAAATCAATGTTACAGGGTGAAGACATAATATACAATCATTATAGACTGTATGCCCAGAGTATTAACATTCTTTAAAAATCAAACAATCCTAGATTAAAAGGGCTGACAAAAAGCCACAAATCCTGGATGGGCAATTTTCTGGCTGAATTTTGGTCATAAAATGCTAATTTCAATTTTAGAGATAAACTTTTATAAATACAGTTTTCAAGAAAACACATAAATATGCAAAACAATACTTATACTTGCTATCATGGCTCCATCTCAAAAAAAGCAAAAGCTAAATGAATACTGAAATATACACCTAGTAATTAGAACATTTGTTCTTGATTTATAAACATACATGTATATATCAACACAAAAATAAATGATTGAAGTCAATTTATAATTTTTTTTTAATAGCATGATCATGGAATGTTTTCACTTTGCAATGATACATGTTTAACAGTTTTATATTTGTCACATACATGTATATATTTCCATTTCTATTTGTTTTCTCTGTGATAACTCTTTGAAAGTTAGGAGAGTTGATTTCTTGATCATTCCAACGGAATGCAAATTTTGCCAAGCGAAAGGTCAAGAGCTAAGAAGGCCTAATATGCATGTAATTCTTGTGCGGCTGTCTTTAATTGTGTTTGATGTCAGTGGGCGGGGACTATTGAAATTGGCATGCGAGGCTTCGTGCAATTTAAATCTATTGGTCTACATTTTTAAAATCTAAATTTACAATTTTATTTCACAATGAAATGGAAATATAAGGAATCACTGTCTAGTTAGTAGAGTATGCCAGGGACATCAACGATAGTTGGAAACGTGGGATAATTTATGCATAATGGGCTTCGCCCATTATGCAAATTATCCCACGTTTCCAACCATCGTTGATGCCCTGGCATACTCTACTAACTAGACAGTGATTCCTTAAATAATACACAATACACATACAAGTACAAGAAACAGTCTTGCTAGAGATTCAGTAAAAAGTATACAAAAACCATTTACAAATGTAGTATACAGTATGCAGAGAGGATAATTTCACATCTCCTTCTTATTAACAACCAAGTGTTTTGAAGACGTAATGAAAACCAGAAGTCTGATGAGACTGTAGCTCTACTGGTCTGAACGTATAACAAAAGAAAGGTAGCACTTGGATTTGAAACTTTGCAACATGCAACAATAAATAGAATTATGTATCTTAATGTAGTCTACTTCTGTGCCAAGTTATATTGAAATCAAACGAAAACTGTAGGAGGAGTAGCGTTTTGAAAGTATTTCACAGAAATTTCTGTTTTTCAGTAACCATGTCAACACCATTCACCGAAATAAAAAAAACAAAAATACATATTATGTATTGTGTGTGCCAAATTAGATTGAAATCAGACCAAAATTGTAGGAGGAGTAACGTTTTATGGGAATTTCACAAAAATTTCTATTTTAAGTAACCATGGCAACACTGTTCATCGAATAAAAAACCGATGCATTCAATTTTGTATCTTAGTATAGTCTTCTTGTATGCCTAATTATATCAAAAGCAGACTAAAACTGTAGCAGGAGTAGCGTTTTAAAGTAATTTCACAGCAATTTCTTTTTTTAGTAACCATGGGAACACCGTTCATTAAAATCAAAAACCGATGAAGTAATTTATGTATCTTAGTGTAGTCTACTTTTATGCCAAGTTATACTGAAATCAGACCAAAAGTGTAGGAGGAGTAGCGTTTTAAAGGAATTTACAGAAATTTCTATTTTCAGTAACCATGGCAAAACCGTCCATCGAATTCAAAAACTGATGCACTAAATTATGTATCTTAGTGTAGTCTACTTGTGTGCCAAGTTATATTGAAATCAGACCAAAACTGTAGGAGGAGTAGCATTTAAAAGGAATTTCACAGAAATTTCTATTTTTAGTAACCATGGGAACACCGTCCACTGAAATTAAAAAAAACAAAAAACGATGCACTAAATTATGTATCTTAGTGTAGTCTACTTGTGTGCCAAGTTATATTGAAATCAGACCAAAACTGTAGGAGGAGTAGCGTTTTAAAGGAATTTCACAGAAATTTCTATTTTTAGTAACCATGGCAACACCGTCAATCAAAATCAAAAACTGATGCACTAAATTATGTATCTTAGTGTAGTCTACTTGTGTGCCAAGTTATATTGAAATCGGACCAAAACTGTAGGAGGAGTAGCGTTTTGAAAAATTGTTTACAGACAGATGGACAGACAGACAGCTAGAGAGACGGACGGACGACGGACACCTTACTATCGCATAAGCTCTTCTAGTCTCTGACCAGTAGAGCTAAAAATCACATGATTAACAGATTAACAGAGTAAATACCGGTATGTCAAATTTAGAAAAGGTTGAACTACAGGGTATACATTCACATGGAAACTCAGTATTTCTTAATACACTGTACCTGTACAAACAAAGTAAGAAATATAAATCAAAGCAGTAGTAAACTAATTAGCTCAAGAACTAAATCATTTGCTGCTTTTAGTAAGTTTTCAGCTGTAAAGTTACTGAAGTGAATCCCTAGTCAATTAAAATTAAATATTACACATGTAAGTTTAAGTAGGCATTATTATGCAAAAATATGAAAGACAACAAGCAGTTTATTAAGTGATATTTACATCCACTGAATATTATTTCCTTTATTTCTTACAAAAACCATTGCCTTTAATCAATCCATAAACAACACTAAGCAAGCCCCCTGCATAGATTTCTTAAGCAATGGCTGCTCCATCAATCATGCATGCAATGACATTCACATCTATAATACAATATTTAACATATTTAGTTTGCTTTGAATGTTTTTTATGCCCCCGGATCGAAAGATCCCGGGGGTATATTGTTTTTGTCCTGTCTGTCTGTTTATCTGTTTGCCTGTCTGTCTGTTGTCAACTTTAACCTTGCCCATAACTTTTGATTGGTTGGAGCTATGACTTTCATATTTCACATGTGTATTCCTTGTGATAAGACCTTTCTTTGGGTACCATCATATTTAACCTTTTGACCTTGACCTTGGAGTTTGACCCACTTTTGCAAAATTTTATGAGACTTTAACCTTGGCCATAACTTCTGAACAGTTGGTGCTTGGGTTTGACCTTGACCTAGGAGTTTGACCTACTTTTGAAAAACTTTAACCTTGGCCATAACTTTTGAATGGTTGATGCTAGGGCTTTCATTCTTCACATATGTTATCCTTGTGACATCACCTTCCTTTGCATACCAACCACTTTGACCCTTTGCCCTTGACATAGGAGTTTGACCTACTTTTGAAAAACTTTAACCTTGGACATAATTTTTGAATGGTTGGTGCTAGGGCCTTCATACTTCACATATCTATTCCCTGTGACAAGACCTTCCTTTGGATACCAACAACTTTGACCTTACCCTTGATGTTTTACTTACTATTATAAAAACTTTAACCTTCGCCATAACTTTTGAACAGTTGCAGCTAGGGCTTTCAAATTAAACATTTTTTTATCTTTTGGCCTGGATTTTGACTTGCATCTGAGAAACTTTAACCTTCGCCATAAACTGCCATACGGGGGCATCAGTGTTTCACAAACACATCTTGTTTTTTTTAAAAAAAGATATAAATATAAACAATAAAATGTCTTTCTTTCTTTGTTAGTATGGGAATTAACGTTGCAGCTATTGCAGAAAAAATTCAAATAACCCACTTACGCGGGTTATGTATTTTTTTATGCAACAGCCGCGACATTAATTCCTGTACTAACAACCAAAGAAAGCATTTTATTGTTTAATAAACCACCCATAGTTGTTTTTTTTTTAATATAAATTATTGTATAAAAAAGGTGAAAAATTAGCTACAGTCCTGAAATTCAAAAAAAAAAAAATCTATATGTATATAAATATGAAAATATAAACCTAATTAAATTCTACTGACATTCAGTAGATATATAATCTCATTTCCAAATATCTCTGAAAAAAAATCTCCTATAATATCAAAGGTTTACAAGATTTTCCATTTTGATGACCCAAGCCCATTGGCAAGGCATCTTGTTTACAGGCAAAATTGGAAGTTGAATATCCAGAACATTGAATGTATAGGACTCATATGACCATTTCAATGGCTTTTCCACACCAATCATAGTGATTTTTGTGTTCGCTGTGGCACGAGGTCTTCCCAGATAGAGATGGTTATTTTCTGGCCAGAAAGTTATGATAGCATAGACTGCATTCTCTTGTTTCCTTCTAGTGTACCTGAAACATAATATCACATGTTGAAAATAAAATGAAATCATGGAATATACATCTAAATGATAGCCTCTTTAAGTTTTAATAGACAAATGTATTGTTTATGGTAAATAATACATGTGCGTACATTTTATGCGTTCACTGATATATTTAAGTAAATTTATATAGGGTACATGGGTCAGAATACACTAAATAATCCCTAGGAGGAAAAGAAAGAGCTTCAAGAGTTCTTGATCAAATTCTTTATATCTTTTTAGCTGAGTAAGATATGAAAACTATTCAAAACTCCACTTCCTTTGACAACAGATTTTACAGTGGCATATCATATTCACTCACCAAACTCCCTGAATAGTTACATTATCACTGTGTTCGAACCAGGGCTGGGTTTCATAAATGGCCTCCCCATTGACCTTGAGCCACTGACCCATTTGTCGAAGTCTCTCCTCAAAGACAGGAATGATAACTCCATCAGCTGTGGGTCCAACATTGATCAGGATATTTCCACCCTTACTACAGAAAAAAAGAAAGTTTGAGTTCAAATTTCAATACAACAGAGCAATTATCCTGCATGCCTTTAAAAAAAGACTTTAAAAAAATATGCAAACTCTTACAAATAACAGAAAAAGAACATTTTATTCATCAACAATAAATGTTACACTTCATTCTCACTGTGTATACTTTACCTAACAGTTTCTGCAATTTCTGCCAGTAATTCTTCTATTGTCATTACATCCTGTATATCCAGTTTCCTTCTGTGAGTCCATGCTCTTTTGTCAACAGTCATACAATTCTCCCATTTGTGTTTAATGATTTTCCCTGTAAACATATTTTAAAAGAATGTATTTCTTTGATTAAAATAACCTGGACAAAGCTTACTGTAGTGACCATCAATAAATACAGGAAAATAAATGTAACACTGTGGTACATGTAATCATTTCATCAAGATGTAAAGCCATTTCTGTATAAATTTTGTGTTAACTGACTTCATTCTTTTGTCCAAGCTAACTTTGTAACATTACATTATATTGTAGGATTCTAGATTTGACTACCACTCTGGTGAACGTACCTGGTTTGTACCTGTCATTACATTATAGTGTAGGATTCTAGATTTGACTACCACTCTGGTGAACGTACCTGGTTTGTACCTGTCATTACATTATAGTGTAGGATTCTAGATTTGACTACCACTCTGGTGAATGTACCTGGTTTGTACCTGTCATTACATTATAGTGTAGGATTCTAGATTTGACTACCACTCTGGTGAACATACCTGGTTTGTACCTGTCATTACATTATAGTGTAGGATTCTAAATACCTGGTTTGTATCTGTCATTACATTATAGTGTAGGATTCTATATACCTGGTTTGTACCTGTCATTACATTATAGTGTAGGATTCTAGATTTGACTACCACTCTGGTGAACATACCTGGTTTGTATCTGTCATTACATTATAGTGTAGGATTCTAGATTTGACTACCACTCTGGTGAACATACCTGGTTTGTACCTGTCATTACATTATAGTGTAGGATTCTAAATACCTGGTTTGTATCTGTCATTACATTATAGTGTAGGATTCTATATACCTAGTTTGTACCTGTCATTACATTATAGTGTAGGATTCTAGATTTGACTACCACTCTGGTGAACATACCTGGTTTGTATCTGTCATTACATTATAGTGTAGGATTCTAGATTTGACTACCACTCTGGTGTACATACCTGGTTTGTATCTGTCATTACATTATAGTGTAGGATTCTAGATTTGACTACCACTCTGGTGAACGTACCTGGTTTGTACCTGTCATTACATTATAGTGTAGGATTCTATATACCTGGTTTGTACCTGTCATTACATTATAGTGTAGGATTCTAGATTTGACTACCACTCTGGTGAACGTACCTGGTTTGTACCTGTCATTACATTATAGTGTAGGATTCTATATACCTGGTTTGTACGTCATTACATTATAGTATAGGATTCTATATACCTGGTTTGTACCTGTCATTACATTATAGTGTAGAATTCTAGATTTGACTACCACTCTGGTATACATACCTGGCTCGTATCTATCATTACATTATAGCGTAGGATTCTAGATTTGACTACCACTCTGGTATACATACCTGGCTTGTACCTGTCATTACATTATAGTGTAGGATTCTACACACCTGGCTTGTATCTGTCATTACATTATAGTGTAGGATTCTAGATTTGACTACCACTCTGGTGAACGTACCTGGTTTGTACCTGTCATTACATTATAGTGTAGGATTCTATATACCTGGTTTGTACTTGTCATTACATTATAGTGTAGGATTCTATATACCTGGTTTGTACCTGTCATTACATTATAGTGTAGAATTCTAGATTTGACTACCACTCTGGTGAACGTACCTGGTTTGTACCTGTCATTACATTATAGTGTAGGATTCTAGATTTGACTACCACTCTGGTATACATACCTGGCTCGTATCTATCATTATATTATAGCGTAGGATTCTAGATTTGACTACCACTCTGGTATACATACCTGGCTTGTACCTGTCATTACATTATAGTGTAGGATTCTACACACCTGGCTTGTATCTGTCATTACATTATAGTGTAGGATTCTACACACCTGGCTTGTATCTGTCATTACATTATAGTGTAGGATTCTACATACCTGGCTTGTATCTGTCATTACATTATAGTGTAGGATTCTACATACCTGGCTTGTACCTGTCGTTACATTATAGTGTAGGATTCTACATACCTGGCTTGTACCTGTCGTTACAGTTCCAGAATCCTCCGTGGTGACACCGAGCATCCTTTCCCCATCTGTCATTTACCACCACTGAGTCCTTTACAGGGCTAAAATTAATCAATTTATTTTCAAACTTAAAAAATCCTGAATATTAATACATGTATTCCAGAGTTGGTTACCTTAACGCATACATGTAATTCTTGTAAGACCAGAAGCTGCCCACTATGTGTCAATGCAATGCATACATGATACTGACATATTAGAGACTAATGCTGCACTGCTTCAGTAATAAACTGTTTGAATGGATTAAAAATTAGATAAATAACCTTTGAATATCAAGCTGGTATAAAACAATGTAAATATTATCATTTAATGATCATTGTTTGCATAGCACTGATATATCTATGAAAGGTGTGCTAGCAATTATACTTCCACTACAAGCTAATTTGTATGCACATTGCATACATCATGCAATCAAAAAATGGTCATTCAATACACTGTATTCTTAAATATTTCCATACATCATTAGAGATTCTAAATACATGTAAATGTGACTATGCCACTAAAAATTCACACAAAATCAAGATTCAGCAAGGATGTAGGAAGTATGTACAGCAAACTATACAACAGGATAGTAAATTCACAGGTGATTATCTAGTTTATTGTTAATTTGAAAACATAATGTACCTTTCATTGTACAGCCAGGCCAGGAACTCTGTAGCATTCCAGTACGTACTGTTTTCATTCCAGTCTCCATCTGACCAGACTACCTCAGGCTTATACCTGTTCACAAGTTCGTACAGCTCAGGTAAGGCCTTAGTCTGTAAAAGACAAACTTAAAGTTGCTATGTCTCCACTGCCCTTATGATGTCAGTGTTACTAGTATCTTAAAAACAATCTATGCCATAATAATCCTTTATTAAAGTACTCTCTTTGGTATTGCTTACTTTAACAAAGCATCTTTTAAGTTAACTTTAAGTTCCATTTTATAAACTGCTTTTGTTTTGATAATTAGAGCACTTTTACATGAACATTCCCTTTTTATCTGTCATGGTCCACCTACATCACTCAGTTTATACACTTAATGAAAGAAATGTGTCATGTACTTCCTAAAATGCCAAAAGTTAGAAGTTGAAGACTGTTTCAGAAATCTACTTTGTGAAAGAATACACCTTAAATTCTGTAAATATATTCTTGATGTTCATAAGAAAAGTACAAATTTTGCAGTATTGTCTGAATTGGGAAGGTTCCCCCTGCATTATGATATCAAATTGTTAATCAAAAGTTTGTATAGATTTGAAAATTTGTCCACAGAATTTCCTTTACCGTACTTAAAGATGCATATGAATCTCCACTTAACTTTTTGTACATGGCAAGAACTCATGGTTCGCATTTATACAGAAATTAAGAAATATACTGAATATCAAAGATGAAGTAATTTGTTACGGGAAGCATAAATTCAAGTCACTCTGTCATAAAACCTTATTAGATTATTATGTAAAAAATTGGTATACAAGTCAACAAAGTTATACCAATGGTAAATTAAGCACATATGTAAAACTCAAACAAAATTGGGATTATGAGAATTATTTATCAGTAGTTAAAAATTTTCATCACAGAAAATCTCTATGTAAACTAGTATTAATTGTAACGGGGACCGTTACAGATGTTCCCCAAACGCTCCTCAACTTCCTTTTGGTGTTTTATTCCCTGTAAGCTTCATTAAATAAGGCAATCAAGTATATTGGTTTTTTTACGCATTACACGCACGCGCATGGGCATGCATGTACAAAATTACCATGTCAACTTGTCTACACTTTTAATACATCTTTATATTCAAATTTCATCAAAAGATAAAAAAAATTCGGCTATATTAAGTATATCTGTCATTTTACGCATTGCAAGCGCGCGCACGTGCATGCATGTCCATGATCATGATGACCGTGTCGTCTTGTCAACACTATTAATATATCTACATATTTTGAGTATCAAACTATTTCAACAAAAAGTATAAAAGTTACAGCTATATCAAGTATATTGGTCATTTTAGCATTGCATGCGCACGCATGTGCATGCCTGTGCATGTTGACAATGTCGTCTTGTCTACATTTATAATATGTCTATATATTCTGAGTATCAAAGCATTACATAAAAAAATTTAAAAGTTATGGTTATATCAAGTATATTGGTAATTTTACTCATTGCACGCGTACGCACGTGCATGCATGCGCTGACCATGTCATCTTGTCTACACTATTAATATATCCTTATATTCTGAGTATTAAAGTATTTCATCAAAAGATATGAAAGTTTTAGCTATATCAAGTATATTGGTCATTCTACTCATTGCAAGCGCACCCACGTGCTTGCAAGTGCATGCATGTGTGCGCTGATCATGTCATCTTGTGTACACTTCTAATATATATTTATATTCTGAGTTTCAAAGCAATTCATCAAAAAATAAACAAGTTAAGTCTATATAATTTGTATTGGTTATTTCAATCATTGCGCATGCGCACACGTGCATGTATGTGCATTCTGACCATGTCATCTTGTCTACACTTTTAATATATCCTGATATCCTGAGTATCAAAGCATTTCATCAAAAGATATGAAAGTTATAGCTATATCAAGTATATCTGTCATTTTACTCATTGCACGCGCGCGCACGTACACGCTCGTGCATGCATGTGTGCGCTGATCAAGTCTTCTTGTGTACACCTCTAATATATATTTATATTCTGAGTTTCAATGCAATTCATCAAAAAATGTACAAGTTAAGCCTATATCAATTGTATTGGTTATTTCATTCAATGCGCATGCGCGCACGTGCATGCATGCGCATTCTGACCATGTCATCTTGTCTACACTATTAATATATCCTTATATTCTGAGTATCAAAGCATTTCATCAAAAAATATAAAAGTTACAGCTATATCAAGTATATTGGTCATTTTACGCTTTGCACGCGCACGCACGTGCATGCGCGTGCGCGCAAAATGACCTTCGTTCCGCAAATCTACATAACATTCCTATTAACCCTAAAAAGGTTTCACCTCAATCGGATGTGTAGTTTCGGAGATCACTCACGGACAAAAAAGTACCCAGGAAGAAAAATAATAATAATAATAATAATAATAACTAGACTCTTGTTGCCATGGCAACAAAAAAGTCTTCCGTTCTTCTAAATCTGTAAGAATTTGCTTTTTTTCTGTGTAAAAAACATACATATCATATTTACTATGAAAGAAAAAAATAACTGGAAAAAAGTCCTTTCAGTACTTAAGGTACTTTGATTTTCATTATCAATCTTGTATAATACATTTGGCACCTATAAGAGATAAACGTATATCATTGGCAATTTAAAAAAAAAATTGTATGCAATCATTTCTAAGACAAACAAACAGACGAACGAACACCGTACTATCATAAACTTCATTGTGTGTATATTTTAACATAATTGTGATGGTGTTATAAAAAAATATAATGAATTAAGTTAGTATCACACTAAACGTAAAGTTACTGAGTTTTGTAAAGTTATAATATCAAGATTTGACAGCATACCTATAAGACAGATTATTCATTTACAGTAATTCTTCAGCAATCGATTGATTGATTGATTGATTATACGTATGTTGTTTAACGTCCCTCTCCAGAATTTTTGAATTTTTCACTCACATGGAGACGCCACCACTCGCCGGTGGAGACTGCAAATTTTTGTCCTATACTTTGGCACTTATCGCAATTGAGCAGTGGGGAATCTTTTTTATGCCAGCACCTTCTGCAAAAAGGGACCTCGATTTATACGATCTCATCCAAAGGACCGGTCTCCACGTCCCACAATCGAAGTTCATAATACCGAGATATTTTATTTTTTATTTTATTCTATTTTTTTTTTTACAAGTTTGTTGCATCAGATTTACTTAAAGATCGTACTTCAAGATCATTTCAAACTCAGGCTACTTAATTGCATTGCATACAGCGTCAAGTGATTTTGATTGACAGGTCAACACACGTGCACTTCGTGTGATACTTTTTAAGCTGAAAAATATACAGGATGTGACCATGACTGACTATGAAATCAGAAAACATTTAATAAAGAATGGGTGTGACCGATATAGAACTAATTTTTGCTCTATGTAAATGGATAGGAGGATCGGGATTAAGAGGGAATCTCTCTCTCCCCCCTCTCTCTCTCTTTCTCTCTCTCAGACGTAAATTGAACATATCATAATGACAAATCTACCATTATAGAATATGAAATTCTGTATACATGTAAATGGTAATTATATTCACATGTTCCAGATTTAAATCTAAAACGAATATATAATTCAAATGCCTAGCTGCACGAACGTCTCCAAATATTAATCAAGACGGGGGGGGGGGGGGGGGGGGGGGGGAGGAGGCTTCAAAGGAATTAGATAGTTTTATGTTTTATGAATTATAAGGAAAAGTACGGACGTCAGTTGCATGTACATAATTATATATCATTGCATAAAACTGTGTTCATTCAGGTATACTTATCCCACATATCAACAGACCTGTGCAATTTTTTTTATCATGTTTTTTTTTTCAAAAGAAACATATAGCGTACCATTATTTCACACAGAATCGCGTTTTCACATATTTTTTTTTAACTCTTTGAGTATTTCACAAGAATCCAAGAATCGTCTTTTCACATCTTTTATAATTCCTTGGGTATATAGAGTATAGATCATGTGTCATAAATAATTTAACTTTTTATCAAATATACATGTAATAACAAAATCTAATCTATAGATTGATTTTCTTTCTTTTAAGTGGCAGATATCAATTTATTTATAAAGGCTTTAAAACAGTACTGTATTACAATTTTCTATCGCTCAATTCCTTTTTGAATGTATGTAATATTTTTTTAATATCGAAAATAAAACTCGGAAATCGGGATAATTTCGCATTCAAACCATAGAGAATAATAAATCGTCTACATTATAGAAAGTTTATAACTATCGTATTCTGAACTTACTATACGAGATAGATAAAATTGCATGCCTGTCCATCACTATAAATGTATATTCAGTGCTTATAATATATTTACTTGAATTAGGCACCTAGCATATATATTAATTTTTTTTAGATATATTCATGTGTAAATCAATTAACTGTCAATACAGGCTTACACTACATTGGCAACTTTAAACTATACATGCACTGGAAGCGGTAACCAACGTACTCTTACATTTAGAAGAGTGCATATGGAACGTCTAAATATTTTTGATATGGAGAGTGTATATGTCTCTGACGTCATCGATACTATTTCCACCTTTATCTCGAAAGTTCTATTCTCACTTACAAGTCAGAGTTATCTTTCTTTGCCCATTGTATACACACTAGGTAAATGGGGAAAATGAGGGTACCTAAAATCTAGAAAATGCGCAATCCAATTTTAAAACAAATTATATATTAAGTATTTGTAGAATAACCTCTGTTATACTTAATAATATCTTGAAAAAATATTAAAAAACAAAAAAGTTGAAAATTGACCAAACACAAATTCACTTCCGGTTCGGACAGGAAGTACCGGAAACACACGAAAACAACTTCGAAACAAAGAGAATGTCATGATCTAATACTCCTGTAAATTTCACATCTTTACCTCAAACCGTTTTCGAGAAAAATTCTGGACAAAAGTCCATTTAAAAATTGGAAATTCGGCCGTAACTTCGGACCGGAAGTGATTTTTTCAAAAAACGGAATTTTATATAAACTTCATATATCAGCCTAAAATCATGTGAAAAATTGTGAAAATCTATCCAACCATCTCTGAGTAATCGCACTCACA